TGAATGAGTTTGCCATTTAGTCATTTCTCGCATAGCTATTAAGGCGTTTTACCAAATTTAAACTAAATAGCAAAAGCATAATTTCTGGTACCCACGGAGAGGCTCTTCTATCCGTAAGTACGTATCATGGGCAGACCCAGACCTTCAGATAAGGGGGGCGGGGGCGGTCATCCAGACCCTGAGATAAGGAGGGGGGGGGGCGGTCTCCAAAAAACTTTTTTCGGCCCTTCTGGCTTCATTTTGGTCGAAAAATAAAGGTGGGCCCGGGCCCCCGGGCCCCCGGGTCCCCTCCCCTGGATCCGTAACTGCGTATGTAGGTGCCTGGATTGTGGAGACTTGGTTTGTATTAGAGGCTTAACCCTTTAAGTCCCAATGGTGACCAACATCAATTTTCTCCTAAAGATATCCATACATTGTCAAGAGATTAGATTATGAGAATTGATAAAATGATCACCAAAGAGAAAATCGTAACTAGAAAATACTTTAAGAGAGTTGATTAAGAAATTCTCTCTTAGAAAATCTCTAGTGAAACCTCTTAAACATACACCTATAACCCTGAATTTCCCAATTCCGTTGAACCTTTACCGGGTAAGATTATTAAAACTCAGTTGGAATTCTTTTTTTTCTCAGATGTCAACGAATGCAATGACGACCTTCACAACTGCCATAGCGACGCAAATTGTGAAAATACTGAAGGCTCGTATAATTGTACTTGCAGACCAGGATACACTGGCGACGGATTTAATTGCCAACCGGAAGAGACTTCTACTACTACTACTACCACTACAACCACGGCCGCCGCCAGCCGACGCCGAAGCCGCCGCCGCCGTGTATGGGGTTGAAAACTGGATGATCATGAGTGACCAGCCACGAATATCTACTTGCCGTCGGAGGACTCTTGCATCGTTCTCTGTTTTTTTTTATTATTTTTAATTGTCCCACTAGACGCACTTTGCAAGGCATTTTTAGCAATATTTCGGTCTCCCAATGAAAAAAAAAAAAGAAAAACATGACATTCAATTCGGGTTCAACGGCCCATCGATGCCAGAGGTGCAAACCAGTTTTTGTTTCATCGGCGGGAAAAGCTCCAATTTATAATGTGGATTTGGCGGTAAAAAGGCCCGCTGAAACGCACTTCCGAAAAATATGCATATTCCACGACCCACAAAGTAAACTCGTCAGTGAGACGAACTGACAAATGTTCTTTTATTTCGATTTTCGCCTTATTTTGAAAAAACTGGTCCAAATTGATTCAATGTTCTCTTTAAAATACTTTTGCCGTCGAAATTTATCGCCAAAAGCATTTCTTGATCGCAAAAACGGCCGCAAAAACAGTAAAAGAGCGCCCGCTAGGTTTGTCTCGTTGATGACGACATTGCGGATACTATCAGATATATACAAATATATAAGAGCCACCAGAGTTAACAGGCCACTATGATCCGCGCGCGACAAAATTATAAACCTTCGCTACACGAGGAATCAAGAAATAGCTCTTAAGCCTGGGTAGCCTGCGGGATCGTTAGCGCGAGCAAAGTTAGAGGAGCTGCAAAGCCGAGCGGAGAGTGGAGAGGGAACACTTTGAAACAGGGCGGATAAACCTTTATCCGCCCTGCTTTGAAATCACCTTGGCGCTCCCTTCTCGCGGCAAAAACAATTCCGCCGGCTACGCAGTCTAAGGAGTTTTGAAAAACTTAAGGTTGTTTGATATTGATTGCATTATACAAGCCAAGGAAAGATCAGCGGCACCCAACGACCGTTTTCTTCAAAATGCTTTTCAATCAAAGAATTTAAAGCTGTGTAGGAACGCAGTTAATCAAAGTGGAATGGTTGGGAAACCCTTTGTTATAGGTTTTTGTTAGCTTTTTTGGCCCTGACCGTGAACAACGTTCAATAGCATTCCTATCATTTTGAAGTTATTGACCAATAGAAACATTGCATTAATTTATTCAATCAGAATTTGTGAACAGGAAACAAAGGATTGTGTACGGTCAGGGAACTTCCAACATAACCTACAGCACCATTGTTTTGAACTTTTGTGTTTGCTGGGTTTCCTAACCAGTCTCCTCTTCTAACTATGGTGGGAACAAACATAACATTTTCTTTATAAATATGTGTCAAAGTTTAATTCAAACTATTAACTTTCTATTAACTTTTTAAAAAGTGCATACCTTCATAAACTTTGCCTTGTCTTTTACCTCAATAGCTGTTGTTTATGAATTTGCTTAAAACGTTTACCACAAAACGTTAGGCAGAAAATATAGAAACAGAGTTGCCTGCTAAAGAAGTCATGTAAAACAACAAAATAAAATAAATTATTGACACCCATCTCCCAGTCTCTAAAAAGTTATTTGCAAACAAAGAAGTAACCATAGAAAACCCAAACCTGTGTACCTCGTTGTGGATATTTCTGAAACCAATCTAAATCAGTACAGAATATTATAATCGATTTATAGATACTTGCAAGCTTGAATGCACAGCAGTTATGTTAGGAATTTTTCTGTTTGCTGTGTTCAGATAATGTTGACATTTCTTATGTTGGATCGATAAAAATGGAATTTTGCAAGATCGAAACAGTCTAATGAAACGTTATAAAAAAACTTTCACTTGCCTGAAATTCGATAGTAAGCATAAGATATTCATTTGTAACAGTGCTAAACATGTAATCTTTGATTTAACTTAACAATGAAATGCTGTTTGATTGACCTAAATCATGTCGAATTTTCTGTGCTACTCGCTCTAAGTTAACCTATATACTTCCTATAGTGAGTTTCCGTTTTTGTATCGAGCATTTCTCCACGGTCCAACAGACACGTTATTGATAAGGTCTTCGTTTTGTAGCTATTTCCAGGAGGCCCAGGGTAAAAATGATTTCTAAAGGGTTCATCAGAGACATCTCCTCCGAATGGGGAGAGGAGAGTGTGGGTATTAAATGGAATGGCCCAATTTGCGCTAGACTTAAACTACACCTAGGCCTTATGAACGTTACGACTGTATTTAAAACGTATTCCAAAAAGGAGAGTGTATAGAATAATCGACGACTCTTTTATTTTTTTGGCGGCGAGGATGACTTTTTTATAATGTGCGCGATCAATTGAAAACTAGTAACTTGTCAGCGGAGAACTTTAAAAACACGTAACATCGATGGGTGGACACCTGAGCCCGCAACACGGTCATGTGATACCCTATCAGCGGATACCCTGTTTTGACAGCTGTCAATTGACCACAACATGCGATATCAAGTTGCAGGTTCCAACGTTAGCTATAAAGTTTGACAGCAAAAACGTCACTATTAAAAAGACTTCGCTTTTTTTCAAATTTTGTCGCGATTATTCCGGTTCGCTTAAAATGTCAAATGTAAGTTAATATTCCTGGAAATTGAATTCTTGGAGACCGAACCCAAGTTTAGAAGGAGATATAAAAGTTCGTGGTATTGTGTTTACGTTTTCCATAAAGCGTCCCTTGAGGAAATTTTACGAAGTCATGTAGTTACGGCAAAGAAATGGACAAAAAAGTGTGCTGCAAGTGCAAAGTTCTTGTTTTGCTAACCTATTGCTTTTTTGACGTTCTCGGTGCAGCCGTCGCCATTGTCGTTGCTAGAGCTCCCTAATCACTGTGTCCTTTACTTGCTTTCTTTTACGCCGTGAGTTCCGAAAACTGCCATCGGTGGTTGAATTCAAAACGAAGATGAGATCTGATCGGAAGCCTAACAACTCCTATGCGTCTTTACGACCAAGCAAAAAAGAAGTTAGAGCCTAATCGCAGGCTGAAGCCAAGGACATTTGAAGATAGACTTAAAAATGTTCCGATCTGACCACCTGTCCGTTTCAAAATTGCTCCTAAGCACCAAGTTACGAAGTTTTAAAAAAAATTTATACCCCATGCAATGGCTTACATTCAAGTAGACAATACTGACAAATTTTCATCTCAACTCTTCGCAATTAAGTCAGTTTTGTTGAAGACAAAATATATTTCTAGCTTGCAAATCATGATAGCGATGCTTTAGAGAACGAAAAAATCGCGTAAGATTTTGCTCAAAGGAAACACTGTGAATCTCAGCAACAGAAAGCTGCTTTTTCAGTTAATGAACAAAGTACTGGTCATTTGTTTCTTCATCATCAGTTTGACAATGGTATTATTGTTATGGTTTATGGCTTTTTGAAAGAATTTCTCATCAAACTCAGTTGCGGTTTTTCCTGACTATGTTATCACCATACTAGATAGCTTTTGCGCTGGCACGAAAACCAAATCGGATAAGGGAACGGTTATTTCGGCGAAATTTCTGTAACGGAGCGGTACCGACCTCTAAAGTGGAAAGCTACATATCGTATAGGCGTCCATACTATAGTGTGAATATGGGCTTAAATTACATTGAACAGCTGCATGACCGGGTGATAACGTCTAATTAATTTGGCCTTTGATTTGGAAGGTCATTAGAAGTCCGATTCTCTATAATCATGAAAATGGCACATTATTGAGATAATTCTTTCTGTTTTGTTTGTTGAACAAAGGCGTTAAATTGAGTGGGCGACATTCTACAGATTTTCAGTTGTAACTAAAATCTCGCGCAGTTATCGTCCCGGCAATTTTGTGGCCGAGCTAAAAATCGGTCTTCCTTTCCGTACACAGGAATTCGAAAAGGTTTTTTTTCTTTGGGCATTAGTTCAAAATATCATGTAGGTATAATCTGGAAAACCGTAAGAGATCTTTTGTAAGTTTATTTTTTTAATCCACTGCGCGTGGCAAAGTATTGCTTTCCTTACTTAGTTCTAGTATGTAGACTTTACCTTGGCACTTTTCCGCTTTACGTTACATGAGTTGGTTATTACGGCAGGTTGACTAGGGTACAGACATGCTCACTTTAATAGATTTTAAAAGTCTTGGGAAAGTACCCAAAAAGTTGGAACGCAGAATTTATCAGTTTGATATGTCTCTCTTTTTGAACGACAGCTTATTTCTTTTTGATTCAATCTACGCTGAGGAAGACCCAAGTAGCTCAGTGCATGCCTTCGACATCAATGGCTGGTCAACCTGTTTTCGTTGTGTTTATAAGTTTTCTGATGTTCCACAAACGTGTTGCTCAGCATTGTGGTACAAACAGTTACTCCGTTTACCAAATGATGCTCAAAGGACACACCTATATGAGAATCAAGGCCAGGCCAGGCTCACTCGACTGTAAACAGGCCTGTGACTCTGATGTCAGATGCCAGAGCTATAACTACGTCATGTTCCAAGACATATGTGAGTTGAATACCAGAACCAAAGAGGCCAGGCCAGACGATTTTATCAAGAGTAGTGACAGATATTACGTCACAAAAGCCCCATACAGAGGTAGGGAAATTCAAACCGAAATACATTTATTTTTAAAACCACGCGTTCATGTAACTAATATGGAAGACGCAGAGAACTGAATCTCGCATTCGCATTGGCAGTCGTTGGAACATCTTTGTCAATGTTCGGAATGGTCAAGATAATTCAGTTATTTATTGTATCAATCACCAGTGGTCGGTAAATCTTCGAAAATTCAAGTTAGATGGTATTCTAAAGAAAACCTCAATCAAAGAACTCAAAACTTTGAAAAATATTGAAGCAGTGAAGGGAAATGAAAACAGTATAAGTGCTGAAGACGGTATAAATCGATCAGAAGTAGCAAAAAAGCGCACAAAATTGAACATGAATTTAATTTAGCTGTGGTTTGTTTTATCTCTAGAGCGCCTAGGTTCCATTCCCGAGCTTTCTGCTGAATCGTGCGCAGAGATCAAAGCAAGTGAAGGAGAACATGCGGTCAGTGGTGAATACTGGTTGGATCCAAGGGGATCTGGGACCTCACATATTGTACATTGTGACATGAGCACGTCAACGCCAAGTAGGTCGTTCTGGTAACTGCATTGGGGTCCTTACCGTCTGTGGGGCGGTAAAATACCTTAAGTAAAGTACTTCAAATATGATTTAGCATCTATCTGATCAGTTAGCATGTATATCGCATGCATTACTAAAATTACATGGTTGGATAGGATAGGATAGGATAAGTGCTTTATTATCAACAGAGCGCCTACAGACACATGTGTTTACAACGATAACAAAGATTTTAGTGCAATAATTACAGAGGTGTACATTCGTCAAATTTATAAAACTATTAAACAAGGTTATAATTAACGCGTCTATCTCTTTCGCGGAAGCGATCATATACGTTGTAAAGGCAGAGCTTGGAGTCATAGAGTCAAGAATAAGATTAGTTTCCTTTTTTAGCGTATTGGACAACTCTCTCCTAGGATCCCTATAGGCTATGCAATTCATCAAAAAATGCTCCTCGTCTTCTAATCCAGTTTTACATAATGGACAGATTCTTTGGTCTGGTGGTTGATAGGGTTTAACGTATCGTCCAGTTTCAATTGCTAGTTTGTGGTTGCTTAATCTTAGCTTTGTGATTGCTACTCTATGATTGGTGTTTCTTACATTTGTGAGGTAATTTTCGTAGTCATGGGTAAGTTTAAATTTCCTAAAAGTTCTCAGTTTGTTTTTTTGATGCGGGTCCTTTGCGGGTCCTTTCGGGGAATGGGAGAGCCCACATATATGAATGCAGAGAGTGTTCGCCTTAGTGTACGTTACGGATTTTTCTTATCCGCACAGGTGTCGCTCTATACCGCAAAAAAAACCGAGGGGTTTAGGCTTGTACGAAATGAAGCATGTGGTAAATCCACAAATTTACTGCAGTCGATAAGAGCAAAAAGAAATTTCTCGGTCAACTACGCAATGTCTTGCCTAAGCCCTCCATACGTACAGGGAGAATTGGTTATGGTTCTAAAGGATGCACCATACTATTAATACTATGGATCATTGTTTCTGCTTTGCAGTCGCCGACTATTGTAAAAACCACCACTGTCCGCAAAATGCAACATGCGTAAACAGTCGCGAGTCTTTCATGTGTAGGTGCAACTCACCGGGTTGGACTGGAGATCAATGCGACAAAGGTACACGCGCAGCTATAGATAATCTATGCTTCATTACCGCCATGTTGGTTTAATGCCAACACGGGCAGCCCAGACGTACTGTTTGTCAATACCGGTAAAAATTCATGAGATTATAGATCGACAGAAGAGGGTCGGAGCTGGAAAATGGACTATCTTCCACTGAAGAGGAGTGCCGGCAACAAATATGTAATACGGTAGTTCCAAATAAACATTCCTTTACCATCGTATTATTATCTATTGATTTATCCTGGTTAATTTCAATCGGCATTTCCTCTGTTCCTCTCTGAATTTGACGCTCCGATCTTATGCGTCGGTACAGCCAAAGCGTGTATAAAGGGCGGGACTAAATGGACCCTAAGGAACCGGTCACTATTTATCGCTATTATTTATTGGGGCTAAACAAGGTGAAATTTAGCCCATCCCCCCTGTGAATGTTATTTCACTGAAGTGATCCCCCCTAATAACATTTGATGACTTTCGCGATCCCCCCCCCACCCCATGTCTCCATTTCCAAGCAAATTTGAGTGGTCCCCCCTTTGAATCCTTCCAAATCTTCTCTTTTGGGGTCTCAGTTACGACTGATCTCCCTTTTGTTCTCCTAAAAATTAAGTGCCCCCCCCAAAAAAAAATCCTCCGCCCCCCACCCCCAGGCGATAAATAATGACCGGTCCCTAAGAATCAAAATATTACAAAACAAAACTCATGTACCTTTAACCATAGTTAGTAGAGGAGACTGGTTAGGAAAGCCGGCAAACATCAAAGTTGAAAACAATGGTGCTGTAGGTTATGTTGGAAGCTCCCTGACCGTACACAATCCTTTGTTTTTTGTTCACAAATTCTGACTGAATAAATTAATGCAATGTTTCTATTGGTCAGTAAGTTGAACATGATAGGAATGCTATTGAACGTTGAGCAATGTCAGGTCCAAAAAAGCTAACAAAAACTTACAACAAAGGGTTTTCCAACCATTCCACTTTAATTAACTATGCTTTGACCAAACGTTTTCATGGCTTGCTATTTCTGGACAGTTTCAATGGCATTTGGTCGCATTTTGTACAGTTTGTACTCGGAGGTAGTAAAACACTAGACGTATTTAGCACTAACTTATTCACACTAAACCGGTATCAGACGTACAGTACGTTTGGCCTGCCTGTGATGCTAGAGTGCTTCTCATTTATATGAGCTGCACAGGACATGTGAGGCCAACAAGGCCATTGTTAGCTTTTTGGTCTGAAATTGGGTGTAGTTTTTTAACCATTACCATTTGGGTTTGAATAATTAGAAAAAATCTGTTCTTCTCTCTAGAACTAGGGACAGCGGTTGAGGTGCAGACATTTGAAATAGGGAAGGGAAAATCCAAGATGTTGGTCTTAAATAGGGTGGGCGTATCGGAACGCATGTTTCCCACCTTTATTCCGACCCTTATTTCTTTTACTTCCAATTCATCCTCATTTCCCCAAGAAGCCACCGGGCGCCCGTTTCTCGAAAGTCCGCGGTTAGTAACTTTTCGGTACTGGAAAGCTTTTTCAGTGTATTCTAGCCGTGTTTACATTCAAGATCAACGTTAATAGTTTTGAAACTGGTATGATGAAACTTTCATGTTTCCAAAGAGGCGAATTGTATTGTAGATATAGACGAGTGTGAGGATGGTCTTCATAACTGTCATACAAACGCAAAGTGTCAAAATGAAGAAGGATCTTTTAAATGCAACTGTAATCCAGGATTTGCTGGAGACGGAACAACAAACTGTGAAGGTGGGTAATGCGTCCTCATGAGGGCTCTTAATACCACGATGCGTTTGACGCGGAAAGTGAGCAGAAATTGTTGTGCCTCACTGTCGGCAGTCTCCCAAGCAACGTTTCTGGCGTTGACAGAAACGGTTGCGAGCGAGACTACTCTATCCATATTAATTCCCATAAAATGGAAGTCGTGACGACGCTGCTGATGAATCGACGATCTTAGAAATTAGAAAGACGATCGCATTGCTCTTCCAATCAAGTTTAACAGCGTTAGTAGGTGCGATTAAGGCGAAGGAATCTACTAAAAAACTGAAGTGTGCTACGGGTTCAGAATTTATATTTTGCTTATTAAACGTGATGTTGATTTTTAATTTTCTCGTTTGTTTTGTCTTTAAACGTTGTCGTGGTTGATCAAACTCGCTCGCAGCGTAACCACCCATGATAATTCTTGGTATGCAAAGATTTCGTTGGAAAACCGACGATTTAGTGAAAAACGCGCAACAAAAACTGACGAAAACGACGTCCACAGGTAACCCAGTAACCCATAGAGAGGTTAGTGGATCCCTACGTACGTGTTTAGGAGGCCAGCAATGAACTCACTTTGAAGAGGCTAACGGTAACTCCGTCGGAAATAGATCATTCTAGTTTAAAATTTGGCTGGAAATTTTGTTTCAGATGTCAACGAATGCAAAGTGGACCTTCACAAATGCCACAGCGACGCGAATTGTGAAAATACTGAAGGCTCATACCATTGTACTTGTAAACCAGAATATATTGGCGACGGATTTAACTGCCGACCAGAAGGTGGGTCAATAAATTTCATTTGATATCGGCCACTTCAAAGTTAAAGTCTTATCTAGGACGGTGTTCTGTCCTACTTTTTCGCTTCTTTCATGGGAAATCTCGGGTGGTTTGTGTAAATAGTAGGCACCCCAGGTAAAAATTCGTCCCCCCAACCAGTCCCAGAGTTCAATTCGACACAACGGCGTCCCAGTCTTTTAAGCGCAAAGTCAAAGTTGCAATAAACACGAGACTCAGTGTTTCAGTTTAAATCAATAACCAGGAAAAGAGTTGAAAGACCTCTTACAGAAGTGATGTGCCACGGTGTATTTTTTAACATGCATGCTTAGCCGGCAGGATCGTTAGTGCGAATTAACAAAGTTAGAGGAGCTTTGATGGAGAATGGGGAGAAGACCCTTAGAGATCCCTTTGGCGCTCGCTTCTCGCGGCAAAAGCCGCCTAAGCTCTCACTAGCGCAAAAACAATTCCGCCAGCAATACATATGTCTCCTCGTAAACAAGGAAAGATGATAGCTAATGCCAACCAATTCAAGGCCGCTTACCAAACGTAAAAACTGGCCTACCGGACCTATAAATTCATTCTGAAAAAGAAATAGAGGCGTTTCTCGAGAGTTTTGGTTAAAACCTGTCATTGCCGTGTATCAGGAATCGGCTGGTCTAGCTTGACAGCCCTAAAAATCCTGAGAAATAATGAAAAACGTTTTACAACTTAACTAATCTGGCCATCAACGTATTAATTATCGTAACGGGACTGAAATACACGGATATAACGGAAGCATATTCCAGTACTTATGTTATGAGGCCGCAATAAATCTTAACTAAATCTTGGCTGGTGAGACCACTTTTCTCTAGAACGCGCGAAGGAAATCGGTAAGTATTTATCCTAGATCCGCGCCTGTTGTGGTTCAAATTTATCCCTGGTTTAAAAATTACCTCCTTCGTTTCGAAAAGCCTGTTTTCTTAGGGCGAAGGGAGAAATTTCGAGGATACGCGCGCACGCTCACGAGGGGAGAAAAAGAGAGGAGGATCCTCTCCCCTTCGCGTGTTCCCCTCAGTCGAGCGCTCTACAAAAATTAACCGGAAAATAAAAACAAAACAAAACAAAAACGAAGCTCGCCTGCCACGTAGGAGGCAGTGTTGAGGAGCGTGGAGGCAGCGTGGCCGAGGGGTTAGAGCGCTGGACTTGTAATCCGGAAGCCCCAAGTTCCAGTCCCACCCTGACCTCTAGCTGGATTTGTTCACGGTAGTCACGAATTCAAATCCTCGACCACGCTTATAAATGGCCAGCGTAGACTAACTGGTTCGCCTCCTACCAGCTGGGATTCTAAAACATATTTTGTTCTATTTGAATTATTGGATTGTGCACGGTCAGGGAGCTTCCTACATAACCTGCAGTACCGTTGTTTTTAATTTTGATGTTTGCTGGCTTTCCTAACCAGTCTCCTCTGCTAACTATGTTCAAATTCATTGAGTTGACATGCTTTACCATACCCTTTGTTTGTGTTTTTCATTCTTGATAACACTGTTTTAGAATGTCAAAACTACCTCAAACTGACGGACTCGAGGAGAAATTCACTGACACTTTGGACTTTATGCGATAATGAACTTGTACCTAACTGGTACCGTTTCACGAACGACGCAGGAACAACAATGCGTACTTCTTGTCCCGCCATGGACGCCTGCGGAACAGTTAAGCCTGGTTGGCTAGATGGAGATCATCCTTCAGCGAGCGATGGCAGAGTAACAAGAAAGGTCTGTTTCAAAGATGTTGTCGGTGTGCAGCCGAACTGTTGCCATTCCTCGGCTTTTATAAAAGTAAGAAACTGTAGTTCTTACATCGTTTATTATCTTAACGGCACAGCGACTACATGTCCCGCCGCCTATTGTGGTAGTAACTGAATCGTGTTAATTGAAGCACAGGGCACCCATGCTCACATCAGACTCCAAGGAAAAAGGCTTTGCATGGGAATTTATGGTGAGTTCGATTAATCTGGGAAAATGCACATTAACAGTTATTTTAATGCACATACCTTATCAAGAGATGTCGTTGTGACGTTTTCTTTCTATTTAGAGTGATTTTAGTTGAATCGTGAAACATACTAACAAATAGTGCAAAATAGCAAGAGGTAAACAAAAGAAGACAACGGCTTATTTCACGGGTTAAGTAAAATCACTCTACTGCCCTATGAATGCTATTTTGGCAAGTTTCTATTTTCTTCTTTCAGGTTTCTCACCTACTGAGAAGCCGAATTTGTTTCCATGTATTTTCGAACTTATGATACAATTACGATACAATAATAACTTGGCCTCGAGGAGACTGTTGTGAGCCTGGACTCCCTGTGATTAAAGATGAACGAGTGTGCTTTGACCAATCTAAGATAGTCAGTATGTATCTAGTGCTGTCTTTTTGTAGTTTGTAAATAAATTATTTGAGCTGTAATTCACTAGAGTAGTTTTCTGTTATATTGTATCCTTTTCGTTTTTGCAGAATAGTGTAAACGTAGTACTGTGGAATGGTATTTTGCAATTTTGAGCTGTAAATTTAGTAGTAAAATTTGTTTTTGTTAGTAGTAGATGTCTAATAAATTCAAAAGATAAAAATACATATCTCAAGTTACAAGTTAAACAAATCAAAAAAAAAGTTAAGAGCTCTTAGAACAATTATTCATCATCTATTTACATCAAGGAATTAATATCATAGCTAAAGGTAACTTTATTCACATAAAACGATCTGAAGCGCTCTGTTGCCACTATAGGATAGACTACGAGTAGTCCCCCATTTTTCCTCAGGGATAGTAGAGCGAGCAAAACGCGAGCGCGCGTGAAAATCAACCCACGCGAGAAAAGGCGACACGCGGCGGGAGAGAGAAAAATGAGGGACTACAGACAAAGCCCAAGCTTTTGAACTAATGCGTTGCTCTCACAACGCAAAACTCTGATTGGCTCTTTCATGGAAATCTGTCAACATCTGTCAAAAACGCGCCAGCCGCTATCAACACTCGACATAATCACAATTACAGAACTAATAACTAGAGCAGAACTAATAACAGCAAAGAACAAATAACTAGTCAGAGTTGCTCTTGTAGAAGAAACTAAGAAGAAAGCCAACCCGGCAACTGATGAGGTTCGCGTGGAGAACCGAAACCATGGTCTTGTCCGATCACAAAGTGGGAAGTGAATAACGGAACAGTCGCAAGGCTGTTAAGCTTATTCAAAAGTTATCACCAAGGGAGGAACTACGCACTCCAGTCCAAAGACTCACATTATCTCCAGAAAAACAAGCGGCAGTTAAAATTCACGAGCAGTCATCACTGAGTCACATCGCAATTCTCCATAGTTAATGTAGTTTTAGTTTAAGCTGCAATCCATTCTTCGAGATTTGGATATCGTTATCAGTCCTGCTAAAATCGCTAACGAGCTGAGCACAGCGTGACAAAACATTGCAGGAAACCGTCACATTCACGGCCAAAAAGAAAATCGCTTAAAATTATTCAGATCCAGGAGGCAATCGCCGGAGAAATTAAACAACCCAAAACCCTTATTTAGCCGCATTGAAGAGCTTTACTTTTCAAAACGAGGTCAAAGAAAATGCTCTTGCATTAGAGGGCAAATCATGCCGACCATAAACAATAACCGCAGGAAATTAATATGCGTGTCACGACCTCTCGGTATGAAATAAGCGGCAAAAATCACATTCGCTCAGTCAAAACGTTTTCCTCCAGAGCATAATCGATCCGTGAAGTCGGCCGTGAAGGGTCAAAAGCTTGGGCTTTGTCTGTAGTCCCTCATTTTTCTCTCTCTCCGCCGCGTGTCGCCTTTTCTCGCGTGGGTTGATTTTCACGCGCGCTCGCGTTTTGCTAGCTCTACTATCCCTGAGGAAAAATGGGGGACTACTCGTAGTCTACTATAGGATGATAAAAGCATGGTTTTCTTAGCGCGTAATTGGCGAAATTCCTTTCTGGTAAAATCTTCCGGCACAAGGGGCGAATTTGTTCTCAATGCCTTTCTAAAAATACGGCAATCTGATCTTTCAAGAAGCTCCCTTACATTCAATTTCCTCGATATATACCCGCGTTTTTATAGCACTTACCTGAAAAATGGTGTATGTTGTTAAGATCAGAAGAGGAGAATCCGTACACCGATAAAACATACAAAAAATTAGCCATAACAATTGATTGAAACATATAATCCAGCTCCTCCTGATTGTACCCCTCTTACCGAAGAGTTCTTACTACGTGCAGGCATTTATTAGCCTTAACAAGCTTTTCACGTACGTGACTTGCGTGTTTACAATTGTACTGGAATATCACACCTAATAGTTTAAGCTCGCTGCATTGCGGAAGGTTATGTATTTTACACAGTTCCTCTACAAACCCTTTTTTACGCATGGTGAGGTCTTTGCTCTTTCCAGGATTACATGACATGGAGTTTTTTCAGACCAACGTAAAAAATTGCCCACCACTTCCGTTGACTGATCAACTCCATCTTTCCACAACGGGATTACAATATTCGTGTCATCAACATATTTAAAAAGTATGTCAACACCTTCTAATTGAATGTTAAGATCATTCAGGAAAACATTGACAGACTCTTGGGTCATACCCTTGTTGACATCTTTCCAATCTCCGAAGAAGCTGTTATTGTATACAACTCTTTGTTGCCAATCAGAAAGAAAACTAAGACACCAATTCTGAATATAAGGATTGGGAACACAACTTTTAAGCTTATCAGCGAGTAAGACCTGCTTCACCATATCAAGAGAGAACTAAAGTCCATACAGAAGAGTCTAACCCCTTTGCAAGCAGAATTATCAAGAAAACTAAGAACCCTGTGCTGAATAGTCAATAAAGCATTAGTGCAACAGCCTCCGTCTCTATACGCAAACTGCGAAGGCGCAAGACTATTCTCGGACGACTCCTTCGCGTGGAAAAGATAACCAACCTTTTCAAACACTCTCGCAATAACCGGCGCTACGTTAATAATCACGGTAACCGCCGATTATCGTTCATTACTTGCGTGACCCATGCTCCAGAGGAAGTCGAAAGCTTGGATTGGCTTAAACGACTTCAACTGATTTAGCAAATCTTTAATAGCTAAGTAAACACCGTCACCAAAGATAATCTTGCCTGCTGTCTTATTTCTCACTTAATTCTCACCTTCTTTTAAACGTCAAATTAAAAATGACTGCTCAACACGAACACTCCGTCCTGCTTGGTTTTTTTGTTTACCACATTTTGATGTGTTCATTTCTTTGTGAAGGATGGCATAATGAAACTTTCTTTTTAAGTTTTTGTAGTTTTATAACAAAAAGTATTTTGTCCCTTAGCATTGAGAAGAAATACTTGCACAAAGTCTCACTTTGAAAATATGCTTTCTAATTACATGTTTTTACCAGATGCTGCCCTGCCACAAGTTTTTGATGAAAGATCAAAAAATGATTCAAAAAATGAAATTCTGTGTTAGATTTGCTGGTATACAGTAAAACCCACGAGTAAGAACCTAAGATTTAAGAACTTGTTAGGCTACAATTTGCAATTTAGACCCCCTCTATATAAGAACCTCTTAAGCCTAAAATTTGGAGAAAGGTTCTTATTTTCAGAAATGGTATAATAAATGTATGATCAATCTGAATGAGTAGTTGCTATATGTCAATTCTAATGTTAAAAATTATGACATGCATATAAAGTTGTTTTGACTCAAGAATTAAAATTCATGTGAGAATAGATCTCTATTATGGTCATATTAAAATATAAGCAATCATTAGGTATAAAAACTTAAGCGTGCTGATCACTAAAATCTTCTTAGCAACGACATAATTTTTTGCAAGAAATTAAGAACCTATTAAGAACCTAGATAGCCTAAATTTACGTTAACTACCATTTATGTAGGAACCTGTTTAGGCTAACCCTGGAAAATGTAGGTTCTTACTCGTGGGTTTTTACTGTACTCAAAATGTCCAATTAAATGAAATTCTGGACCACAGGTACAAAACACCAGCCCTTAGACATTAACCCTTCTTGATGCTGGCATGTCATGTTCTGGCATTGCACATTTTGCATTGCTGTAAACACTGTGTGAAACAATTCAAAGGTACTTTCAGGAGTATAGCATGTGTGTTAAATTGCCAGCAACGTCAGATATCCAGCTGGAAGTCAGTTCCTGGTCATTCTATGTTTTGTCTGCGTACAGGCGAACTCTGTTACACCTCGGTTTTAATTTGACTTTGCTTTATAAACTCTTGTCGGCGTGTAGAAAGAAAGCTGTGCTCCAGTCAACTGCCTTTAGAGCATTTCAATATTAGAAACTCTTCCTCGACTATTCAGAGTATGTAATACTTCGCCTTGCTCTTCGGTCTTTTCTTTCACGTACGGTTGTGTCCTGTCGCCGGTTGACCGCGGATAGCGTTCGGCCATTGCCTCGTGTGCGCTGGTGACCAGCGCGAATGCGTCGGTCTCTTCGTATTCGCGCCACGTTGTGTCAACGAAAGTCAGCTCAACTTTTTGTCTTCCTTCTTGCTGAACTCGATCCTTAAAGGCCGTGACAGCCGCCTGTGCTTGGAGCTCCTGATAATCTTCCAAAGATGGAAACGCTTCGTCAAATTTGTTCACAGCGACGAGATTTTCATAGGCACTCTTAAGGATGTCAGACGGGTTTTTCTTGTTCATGGTCGCAAAGTACATGTCTGCACGCGTCTTGCCTTGTCCTTTCGCGAGTTTTTCCATGTTCAGTTTAAAGGCCTCCACAGCAGCTTCTGACTCGAGCTTCTTATACTGGTACGGACTCGGTAAAGTGCCGAACTCACGCTGATAACAGCATCGCTGAACTGAAACAACAACGAAACCTGTAAGTAACGCTCCAGCTAGCAAGAGCAACGCTGCCGTCTGTGAATTTCTTCCCGCGTTCGCGTAATCTTCTTCGATTTGTATCTTTTGCGCGGCTGAGGCACTGACTAATTTAGCTGCTTTCGTTCCTCCTAGAGCAGCGCAGATGTAATAGTCACGCTGCAAGAGCGCCCAGAAAATCCACATGAACCCAGACAGAGAACTTTGGAATACGATTTCCACAAGAGCTTTGCTGCAAGGCCATCTTGGAAACAAACAACAGCAGTACCGTTTTGCTCCTCGCTTGTACGGAACTTCGTAATAACAGCATCCACGAACATGGTCCCAAAATCCGCTGTGAAGAAAAATCGTCGCTATAAACAAAAACAAAGCAGGAATGATGAAGAAACAGCTGGCGTAGAAAACAAAGTTGTCTGGAGGACACTGGAAGAAATCTTCACTCTGTACGACGGCATTCAGGCCAAACACCAGCAAGGCGACAGTTGTGTTTCTTATGGATCCTGAGTGGCTTTGGAAGGCCGATTTCACATTGGTTACCAGCGAACTAAGCGTGAGCGCCATCTTCTATTTAGGCGAGACTAATTTATTCAAGGTCGTCTAATGGTTCGTGTGTCTCAGATTTATTGTCTGCTCTCGCATATCACGCGACCAACAATAGAAACCACGGAACGACGAAGAGTTTCAATTTTTGACGATAAAAGTCAAGAATAGAAAAATATGGGTATAATTCTTCGTCCCTGACTTTATCGTTTTTAATCATATGAGCGCATTAGCTCAAAATGGAAAACAAAAAATTATTTAAAAAAATAATTTGGTATTTCAATACCCATTGTTCGAATGATCACGCTTGACAGTTACTAAGGACTCGAAGTGCGTATTAACTTTTGAGACCATGAACTCTTTAAATAGCAACAATCCTAGGTTACCGACAGTTTGGGATTTTTAACAAAACTGTCCAAGAGTTCGTGATCCAAAGATTTCGATTACTATTTTCTTACAAGTTACTTACAAATAGTAACCTGCAACTTAGTAAACCGCAATGTGCGCAGTTATTTTTATTTGTCGAGAAAGGGGCGATGATATTAGCGTTACTTGTCATAGATTGTCACACAGACGAGGAAAAAAGAGTTGTGGTTTGTCGACAACAAAATTGACGCTTGTGTTATCGACAAAAACACTCTATTTTTGGAATGTTATTTTCCGACCCACGGACTGAATATTCTTCATATAATAAGCCCCAAGGCTTATGTTTAAACTTTCTCGTCCGAAAAATACTTTTAATTCTTTTACTTACAATTTACGTCTCTTTCATCTTTAAATAACATTTTTTATAATATAATGCATGTCTGTATGTATATCATTATGTTTTTTTCCTGGCAAATAAATAAGTAAAAATTCTTACTTTTCTGCCGATTTGAGGCTGACAAAATTCTAGTTAGTACAGGTTTTTTCATTTTGTTTGCTAGTTTTGCCGGTTACAGAAAGAAATAAGTTATTAACCGGGGTACCCAACGATGGTTTCCTCCTAAATACATTGACAACACTTTTTAGGCTATCCAGAGTACTTTTTAGATATCTAGAAATGCATTCTAAACGGCGCGTAAAATTTGTATCTGTTTGGTCATGCTTGAGGAACTTGAGTCTTTTCGAAATTACAAAGGCTTGAGTAGTTATTTTTCCGAAATTTTAGATGAAATTTGACTCATTACGAAAGTGAGAAATTTTCTGATTCCTCTCGCCACCACATTTTTGAAACCGAAAAGTTTAGGTTCCTTTTTTTCTACGAAAAACAGTCTAGCTTGGAAAGTAAAATGTGAAAAATAAAATTTCAGAAAATCGTGGAGAATTTTTAAGATAAGCTTCGAAAATTGTACCAGAATGGAACGGTCATCTACAAATTTTTAGCCGTCCTCAAGTAAAAGAAAATTCGAGACAAATGTTAGAGAAAATGTAAGGGCTTTCTTTCCCCAAGGACAAAGAAAACCGTCTGTAATAATGATGGTGTCCGTGTTAAGCGGGTGTCCGCAAAGCGGAGTACGACTGTACATGGGAGTGTAAATCCACGGATTGACAAAGGTTTTAGTGCAGAATCAGAGGGATGTAGTATAAGCTTGTTTCTTTGAAAAGATTTCGATAAAAAAAACTGCAGAACCGTGAACGTATTATAATTTCATAACTAAATTTATATCAGTTTCATGTAACAATACTATTGCTAATTATGTTATATTGTGATTCAAAAATAACTAGTATTCATTTTCATTATGATTTAATAAGACAATTATCGATGTGTTCGTTGATATCAGAATTCTTCAAGCCGCTCGCAAATTTCTCCCCACAAACAGGGCAGAGAATTTCCTTCTCCATTTGGTCCTTAGAATCTTTGTCAGTCCTTTTCCCAAACGAAGACAAAATGCTCGATTGCTTCTGTCGCTTAATCGCCCTTGACGACGCTTCAGAACTAGTTCGTTTCAAAGAGTTCTTTCCTTGAATGTCCTCTTTCGAAAGAGGCTCCGAAAGGTGGCGCACAAGACCATTACACTTAGCAGCACCTTTGAAAGCTCCTTTATTTTCCGGGAGCTCTTCCTCTTCTCTTCCCTTCGATCTAAAGTAAATTGATTTGACTTCCTTCTTACTTACTTTAGTCGTTGCTTGTTTGTCATCCGTCCTGTTTTTGACGTTTTTCTCGATTTCTTGATTTTCGATCTCATTGCAGTTATTTTCCCCGCTCTTTTCCTTAACATCCTGATCTTCTGATGTACTTTTATTACTCTCAGGCGATCGTTCAACAGTCTTCGGTTTAAAGAAATTCTTTATAGTTACAGGAGGGGTAGTAGCCTTAGTTAACGTCCTTTGGTTGATGGGCGTTTCCGGTTCCTCATACGCTCGGCTGGCCTTTGATGGCTGTTTAGAAGGTTCTGTTGAACTCAAAACACCATTTTGTTTGTCCTAGAAAATAAAGGGAAAAAAAACAGATAATCGTTTAAATCAAAACAATACCTAACAAGGTTCGAAGTTGAAGCCTGGAAGCAGTAGCAAAGAATGACAAAAATTTCAACCAGACTCTTGCTAACGTCCCCAGAAACGGGGGCAATGACAGGAGGCTGAACTCGCAGGTTATTAAAAATTTGAAATAAATATCAGTTAAGTAACAAGATCATGTTGCGATGTTTTAAAAATAAAACTTATTCTCTGGTGTGTGCTATGAAGACCCAATATCCACAGACAAATAAAATCTCCAGACTGTTCTCCATGTATATCTTTAAAGAATTAGAACAGAGAATTTGACAAAAGATCAACTTATGGTGACATTTTATTAATTGTTATAACCTTTTCTCTTGGTTACGTATTGATATTGTGGATCATTATACGCTTCTAGGAAACTGCCCACCTACCCCTCCCCTAAGCCAACATTTTGCCCTAAGTGAGAAGTACGTGTTAATGTTGACTTAGGGGAGGGGTAGGCGGGTAGTTTATATTGTTAGGAGAAAATTAATGTTGGTCACTCTTGGGACTTAAGGGTTAAGAAGAGTTCTTGATGATGACTGAGTGCGGTTATCAAATCGTTCAAAGCTGCTAAAATTAAGGACTGGTCGGGAAATTGTTCTTTAACATGAGTGCTTGGCCAAAAGGAAACATTTTTGTGTGTGACGAGAATTTTTTACACTTTCCTTTATACAAATAAATATTTACTTACTATAACGGCGTCGAGCAACTTTTGCTCCTTCAGAAACAACGTAGCTTCCGGTATGAGTTGCTCTGGGTAACGCAAACCTACCAGTCGCTGACCGTTATCTAGCTCAACGCGTACTACTCTCAGAGATCGACTTTCCTTGCTGCAACAAAAAGGAAAAAGAAAAACTACTCGGCGACAAGAAGCAAACACAATGACATGACCAAAACTGACGCCTCGGGAACCGAAGTCGCCAGACGAATAAAATATCAACCGCTAAAATATACTGTGAATACATTGTATGACCATTCAAATATTATTATTATAATTATAATAATAATAATAATAATAATAATAATAATAATAATAATAATAATAATAATAATAATAATTAAAAATTTATAACGCGCCTTTTCCATGCAAATATGATCAAAAGCGCGTGACAACACGTAAATGTTAAAAGAAAATAAAAACTAAAATGAGCAAAATAATTAAGGCTAAGAATAAACAACGCTAAAAATTTGAAAAAAAAAAAAAACACTAAATATATTACATAGTAGCTAAAAAAAATTACATATCAAAAGCTAGTCGTTTTTAGTAAAGATTTAAAACGTTCAAATTGTCCTCAAGACGGATGTGAAGGGGCAGATTGTTCCATAAATTAGGGGCAGCAGATGAAAAAGCACGATCCCCTAAAGTCTTTTTCAGTTTTAAACTAGGATACTTTAAGATAAGACCGCTAGCTGAACGGAGATTATAGCGCGGCTGTTCTTTGATAGCAATCAAATTGATCAAGTAACCAGGTGCATGACCGTAGATAGCTTTAAAAGTAAAAAGAAGTATTTTAAAATCAATACGAAATTTGACAGGAAGCCATAATATAACCTTTTTAGCAGTGCTTTGACTTTTAGAGCGATTCATGCTTTTGATAATCAGTTCTTTTGGAAGCGAAGGGGTTAAGAATTACTTACCTGAGACCAATTTTATCAGCATTTTTAGCCATGGCCATCTCCAACGCAGATAAAAGAGGAATAATTCCACCACACAATAAATGGATCTGAGTAATGCGACAGCCGGCTGACGAAAAAACAAAAACGGGATCTCGTTGAATTATTTACAGTTTCTGGGTTCCTCCCAACCCGCCTTAACTTTTGTTTTTCCCGAACGGGTGGCTTTAGGAAAGAAACATGGGTTAGGGGTTGGGAGGTTGGGAGTTTTTCCAGAAACGGTGATCGATCCAATGGTTAGCCATTTTTCTCATGGTTGCCATTTGACTTCATGTAAATATATGTGAAATATCACTCTTGACCACAGAGTGGCCAGTCCAATTGCACTATGGGACTGTTTTGCGAGAGAAATTTTAACTCAGTTTCTTGCGCAACCTCGTAACAGCCAGTGAATGAAGCCATAGCGTCCCAAAAGGGATCAAAGTGCTCTCGACATACCAATAACCTGACGCGCAACCTCAAAATGGCCAATACCAAGTAACCATACAAGGTATTGATATTGGAATGCTATTATGCTGTCTTTTCTTTCTAATGATCAGGTCAGGATAGGACGGAATGGAATGGAATGGGATGGGATAGGATAGGATGGGATAGGATGGGATGGGATGGCATGGGATAAAGAAAGATAGCATGACCATATCTTAATCATGGACTGCATTACCCATCAACGTTACGTAATTTTTAAAGCTACCCACTAACAAGTTGATAACTTTTCACTGTCTCGTGCTCACTGTAAATTTAAAAAATTCGTTTTATTGCAACTGAATGTCATCATTGTATCACACTTTAGGTGTCCCCTATTAGATGAGGGTTACCCCTCTGCTAGATCTTGTATTGACAAGTTCATGAAGTTTATTCGTTCATTCATTAACAAATTGTCGGAGTTATTCTTTTAAAGAAGGATTAAATCATTTTGTCAAGTCACTTCCTCATGGTCTCTTAAGGAGACTTCTAAGAAATACAGCACTGTAATAAAGTTTTCATTTACTTTTACAGGAAGGTCCAGTCTTGCAGCCTATTCCGTGAATACAGTGATCTCTGGTTCTTTCGTATTGTGCTTTCCATCCAGCTTCTAATGAATCAAAAGTATACAACAGTATTTAGTTCCCGGCCAATCAAAGTATTTGACATTTTACGAGTTTTACTTTACGTGTAACCTGTGAAACGATTAGCAAAACATGAAGTTACAACAAAAGAAATTTTTTTTATTTACTGGCTTTCATTTTAAAAGCTCTGCAACCACAACGACGACGGCAGCGAGTACGTCAAAAAATTAATTTTGTGAACAAAACAATCGCTCTACACGTACACGACGCTTTTTAGTACATTTCTTTAACGTCCACTGCACGACTAGGACGTGAAACCCCCCTAAAGTGACGTTTTATGGAGGACGAGACGACGACGCATAACTACAGTTTTTAAGAATTTAGCTCCAGGAATATTCGCCTATCTTTTACAAATTAGGACGGGCTGGCATCCGTGCAGTG